TTCACCTAGCATTCTACCAAAAAGCAAACAAAGAATAGAACATCATGAGGCGGAGGGAGGACAATCCTGGGCCTCTCCAAAAGCCTTCGTCTTCGTGCCCATTCCTTTTTGCACACTCTCCCATGAGCACAGCTGGCTTTCTGACGAGGTTCTGGTGCAGTGGAACTGCCATCATTTGTCCACCCGGCGACGCAGGCATCAGCATCTGACCCGGTTGCAGAATCATGCCACCACCCGGCGTCACTGGTGCTGTTCCGTTGGGCGTTGTGGGTGGCCCTTGAATGCCTCAGCCGAGGCACTGCCAACAACCTGAATTTACGTTTTTGGCGCGAGCATGTGTGCAGGCTAATTGTCCGCACCTCTGGTGGCATCGCCAGTTCTAGCTTGGCCATCCATTGCCTGGCAAACGAGCCAAGCAAACAGCCTACGTCAATAATATGGCAGGCCGTGTATTGCACTCTACTGACCCCCCCATCCCCACAAAAAGAAGAAGAACAAAAAACGGGCCTGCGCCGGAAGCGCACCATGCGCCTTTGCCTGTGCGGCTTGCGCTGCCTGCGCTGCCTGCGCCGCCTGCGCCGCCTGCGCTGCCTGCGCTGCGTGTGCCTGAACTGCTTGCACTTGCGCTTGAGCCTGTGCTTGGGCTTGCGCCTGGGCTTGCGCCTGGGCTTGCGCCTGGGCTTGCGCCTGGGCTTGCGCTTGGGCTTGCGCTTGTGCCTGCGCTTGTGCCTGCGCTTGTGCCTGGGCTTGTGCCTGCGCCTGTGCTTGGACTTGCGCTTGTTCTCTGGTGGCAGCCTCCGCTTGCTGCTGTCGCAAGCGGGCAACTTTCCTGGGCAGCCGCAAGATTTGAGAGAAGTCTGGGCACAACGAGATCGGCCGAAACTGCTTAACTGCTTCTCCAAGCCGCTGCTTTTTTCTGAGCTTTGGCTCGCCTTCTGGACAAAGATGGCAACGCTTGCAGGCCGTACCATTGATGCAGCCGCTGGGCTTCTTGTGAAACCAAGCCTGGGTCTCATCAGTGCTGAGCATGCTAGGGCTTTCTGCTTGCAGTTTGGCCCTGGCGATGGAGAGCTTGCACATCTCTTTCTGGGTTTGCCCAAAAAACTGCCGAGCAGCGCATGGTTGGCATGCTGGAAGCCCCTCCTTCAGGGTTGTGCAGTTCAACTCTTGCAAGTCTCCACGAATAACAGTTCCAGACTAAGGCACTCATCACCTTCCTGCCACCCTGCCACCCTGCAGCCTGTCCTCGTCAACGAGTCCGTGTAGCCGAGAGCCCTCTGAAGGTGGTTGCCGCAAGTTCTCCGGAGCTGTAAGAGCCAAACCAAGCAATTGCCGTCCAAAGTGGGATGGGCTCATCCTTGGCTGCCGTGGCCCTGTTCAAACATTCCGTGAAATGCATGCTCTTCTATGCCCCGCTTGTGCAAAGCTTCACTGGCGGTGGAGGCATATCGCCATGATCCTCCTCAAAGGTTGGCGCTGATTCTTTTGGAGGAGGTATCATCGAAGGAGAACGTGACGAGCTTCCTGTGAGGAAATCGAAAGAAGGAACAAGCTCAGCCGGCATGTCAAACGGTCAAATGGAAGGCCGCTGTCAGTTTCAAAAGCGCATCTCTTCCAGAGCGCTCAACCACAAAGCTCCTGCGTCTGGGCCATCGGATCTTTCCTGAGATTAGATTAAGAAGAAAGAAAAAACAGAAAAAAAGAAAACGCCGGCCCTGCATGCAGAACAGCCCAGCCCTTATCCTGGGCCCATGTCTCCAATGCAAGCTGAAAGCTGCGGCTTCCAAGAGATCAGTGCGAAAGGGGAAGACTGCAGTCTGGTCCCTAGCGACCTTCCAGTCCAAGATGCGTTCGCCAGAAAAAACCGGGCTGGTGAAGCTGTGTCCGACATTCGTGCGGTGCACGTCTTGGCACCGTCATGGAAGGAGGTGATCGAGTCCGGCGATTCCTCCTCCGCCACATCGATGAATGTGTTCTTGACCTTACCAAGCGATTCAGACCTCAACCCAGCTAACTCTCGCCAAGAAGGCCCAACCAGGATGAACACGCCAAAGCAAGGCAAGAGGCGGTCAAAGGAAGTTCAGCATCTACTGGAATACCGGCCGGTGAGACTGGCGACACTGAGAATGACCTGTTCATAAGCACTCAGCGTGAACATGCGAATGAAAGCTAGCTTTGGAGTGGCACGTCGAAACATGCTGAATGTCACGGAAACACTCTGCACTGAGTTTGTCACTCGAAGGCTGCAGCCAGAATCTGCACGCCAACCCGACCATTAGCTCCTTCAGCAAAGCGCTGCTGCGCCGGGACAATGGGTAACTGTGCCACGGGCATTGAGCTGATCTTGGGCCAAGCGGCTGCAAGCGTAAGAAGTCAAGTCAAGTGCCACTCTAGTCTCCGCGCATGCGGCACATGGGTCATAAAGGTGCTGACACCCAAGGGCAGCGTGCCACCTAGTCGGCATGAAACAAGGCGGCGCGGCCAACTTCGCATGTTGGGAGGCAGCTTCACCATCCCAACTGTAAGCTTTTCGAAGCACTGCATTGCTCTCTTGCACTGGTCCATGTACATGTGGGGTGCAACCGCCTTGAAATATGTGCAAGCATTTTGTCTAGGCTGACTTGTTGCGCGCCTTTTGCCTCCTTTTACAACAAAATCCTTGGCAACGCCGCAGGTTTCTCAAAGCTTGCCTTCTGCATCACTTGGCAATTGTGGCTGCAATGCAGGTGGCTTACTAGGTAGTATGTGTTGGATACTTTTGCGAGTAGTAGATGTGGAGAAGTGGGCGTCATCTGGGTATTGCAAACTCTTGCATGTTTGTTTAATTGTTTTTGTCTTGACAAATTCCAAAATGAGATATCCCGCAGGCGGTCTGGCATGAGTGCGGCAGTGCAAGATGTCCGTACATCTCAATGGCCGCCCCGGATGTCCGGCTGGAGCCCAGGCAAATCGAATCCTTTGGTTCTATGCGCTGACCGGTGTCCTCTCCAGAGTGTGGCTGCCCTTGGCCAGCTGGTCCAGAAACCTGACAGCCAGCCGCGTGCAGCAAGATGGTCTAGAGGGGGAGGGAGGAAAAAAAGAAAGTAGCACAGAATCAAGCTCGCACATCGCAAATCCACAACCCGCTGCGACCCCTCTACCTATGAAACCTATCCACAACCTTTGCCTTGCTTTTCTAACCCACATCCGACAATAGGGAAACCCTCCTTCCCCCACTGAGAAGCGCGCTGGGGTGGGATAGTCATGCGGTCGACGCCTGCCAGCGCCTGTCACTCCCGCGAAAGGACTCACGACCAACCAGGGCTGGTTCAAGCTCTTGTTAAAGCATGACATCCTTCTGGTTTCCACGAAAAAGGGGATCAGGGGTTGATGCTTTACAAATAAAGCCTGCTGTTAACAAAGGAATTGCACTCCCAACAATTGCAACAAGCGCACGCAGGGCGAACACTGTATTGCCTGCACAATGCAGGCCTGTCTTGGCTTACTGACAAGCTCAACTAAATCTAATTCGGCCGAGCTTTTGGCTATGTGGCATTCAAGCAAAAAAAAAAAAAAGCAAACAGGGTGGAGAAGACCAATTGGGTTCAATCTACCACTTTCAGTGAACCTTTGAGCAGCTTGAACAAGTCTCGAGAGCCGGACTGCAAAATATTGAACTCCGCATGTGTTTCACGCAAAGCCGCTTCTTTCTGTCCATGCGTGGCTACAAGCCAAGCACGTCACAAAGGTTACTGTCGTTTCGACTGGCTCCCCGCCAGATCGCACGCAACTCTCCACCGCCGCGCTCTGCGTATATGCCGTTTGCCTTCCTGAGCACTTCTCGCAAGTGAAGCGATCGGTGACGCAGTGCTGCGCAGGCCTCACAGCTGCAGCCTGGAAGGCCTCCTGCCGCTGCTGCGCCCGCTGTGCGTTCTTGTCGGAGCTGGCCATATCCTCTGCAGTGAGCCAAGGAAGCCTAGCCGGCGCCAGGCCGCCGGTGAGCAGACTGCGGCGGAGGCTTTCGTTGGACTCATCCTTGAGGTTGTAAAGCAGGGACCTGGCTTGGCTCAGGTACTTGCGACCCTCCAGCTGCTCATGCAGCGCCGCCTCAATCTCAGCTGCCAGAACCACTGAGGGAGATGGCAAGGAGTCCTTGGCAGCCGCCTCCAAGGCGCCCAAGAGCTTGTAGACGACTTGCTCTCGCTGCTTTGTCAAGTGGGGCACTGCTGCCACGTCCGTCTCCGGGCTACGGGAACGTTCGCGACTGTCGCGCTCCTCCCGCCGCCATCTGCGCAGTGCTCCCTGCCAGGACTTCACCAGTGCGTCGCATGACGTGCGCACAGCCTCTGGCATGTTCTTCTCCCTGCCAAGGTGACTGACCACAAGCCCCACATGAGTGGTTGCTAAGACCTCCTCCGGAATAGAGCCCAAGGAATGCAATGCAGCCAGGGCACTTGCCGCAGCCTCAGCGTCGCAATTGAACACAAGCTGGTCCCGATATTCCTTCACCGTGGCAATGACCTGGTCCATGTAAAGCCGTCACAGGCAGATCGGCTCAAATCACTCACTGTGATGTTAGCTTCTTGGAAAGCCGGCCGCGGTCCCTTCGCAAACCCCATGACAAAAAGGTCATAACAAGCCAGATGCGCGCGCGCGCGGGCGCCGCCTTGAGCTTCAAGCTGCGGAGCCGACTTCCCCAAAACGCGGGCTTTCGGCTTCGTCCGCCCCGGGCGCCTCGATCTCATCCAAGTCGTGGCCAGCTCCCCTGGGCTGACTTCCCAGATTTTCGACTTTCCGCGTCGGGTGTTTTTGACGAGCCTTGACGGGCGCCAGCTGGCCGGCATGCAAATCGTGTCGTGGCCATAGCGCTTGTAGTAGGTGTACCTATTGAATGTTCGCATGTTGCAGCAGGACCTTTGTCAATGGAGGAAAGCCGCACAACCGAAGCAAGAGAGCGGCTTGCCGCAAGCAGTCAAGCTCATGCACTACTTGTCCCTCTCGCATGCCACTTGGCTTCCCTGTCAGTAGACCTCGGCTGCCATGCATGAAAAATCTGCGGAATCGCACTGTTTCAGCCGACCTGTTCAGAGACTTTCCAGGCAGCAGGGACGCTGGGGAAGTGAGTCACCTCACACTGCACATAAGCAACACTGCTCCGGAATCGGTTGCATCAACTTCGTCTTATGGCCATGGGTCAAAATCCCGGTTAGCCCCCAGTGAACATCCCAATCCCCCCTAAAATAGGAAGCCGAAAATGGGTGGTGAATTCACCTACCAACCAAAATGGGATCCCAACACGGTTTTGACAACGGCCTGAGCTCTGAGCATACTTTCTGCCCTCCCGAGGCTTCGCCATATCCTCCACCGTCGTCCTGAGCCCAAAATGACGAGGGCACGGTGGCCACGATCCGCTCGCCAGCCTCCATTCCTTGTAGTGCTTGGTGTCCTTGTGCTTGGCCGCATCCCCTGCCGTCCTTGGAATGGCGGCCCAAAGCTCAACATCTTTGCCGCAACATCTTTGCAGCCCAATTCGCTTGTACACTTCTATCAGAAGGAATTCGGTCGGCGAGTCCACATTCTGCAGCAGATCGAACCGCAAATTTCCATATTCCTTCACCTGCGGTTGACGTGTGCAACAGGCCGAGACTTTAGGCTGCTGGTTCACATGGTGCACCAGTAGCGGGTGCAGTCACAAGGATGCCACCGACTCCATCGCATTGGCGCGGGTAGCTTTCTTGAACGCCTCCGAAAGCGTGGGGCGAGCGTGCACAAAACGAAAAACAGACCTTGCTGGCCGGCTCCCACTTGCAGTCAACACAAAACAACGATCTTCAACAGCGAAGAGCCCATGAGCGATGCTGGGGGCGTGACTTCCAAAAGAGGTCGTCCGGTGCTCTGTCGCTTGCAGCTGCTCCAGCCTCCTCAGCTCCAGCCTTGACGCTCACAAAAACATGGGTGATGTCCACATCTCCCGCGCCCTGCGCGGGAAACTGCACCCTGCACCATCCCAGCCAAACGAACGAACAAAGCCCTGCCTGCGGCCTCTCCAATATGATCGTCTTAGGATGGTAGTCGGATGCCTAGCGATGCAAACACGTGCATATCCGCGTTGAACCTGGCTCGGCCTTGCCGGGGAAGATGGTATCCCACTGGCTGGCGCTCCTGCGAGCCCCAAAATGTCAACCCCCAGGCTCATCGTCATCCATGAAGGTTGGTTTGGGGCATATCCTCGTAGCCCGGGGCTGTGGACTCACACGGAAAATCTAGGCAGCGGTCGGATCGCCGGGGCCGGGCTTGGAAAAGGAGCTTGCGGGAAAAGTGAGCTAAAGTTCCCTCGAAATCCCCGGAGTAAAACCCATCGAAATCAAGGGGATGCCTCTGATTAACGCGGTGTTCTGCTGGATTCATCCGAAGTTGAGCAGTGATTCAGGGCACGGCTTGCTGCCGCTCGAGGCCTCCCCCTTACAACGTAGTGGCGAAAAGTATGTTGAACTGCCAAGGCAAAACGAAAGAGCTCCCCCCTCTCTCTGCTCACGGCCGTCCTCGGCGTTTCCATCATGTCAGCGACCGTGTCACGCCAGGCCGCGTAGTGCGCCGTCTCTTTGTGGCCAGCAGGGCCATCGGCATTCCTTTCACAGGCCCGCACAAAGCCGAGCAAACGATGCTTCCCCGCGAAGTCTGACTAGTCCTGTAGATCTCAACTAAAGCAAAGCGGCTGGGATCCTCTCCTCAGCACAGCTGACAGCAGCCCGCAGACTTGCGCAAAGCCGAGATCAAGCAGGTCCATCCAACGGCCAAGCATCTCAGCTGGAGCACGTCAAAACGCTGGTTGAGTGGTTCACCCTTGGAGGAGCGGGCGTTCTGAAGAGAGGCCTACCAGCTGGCACCCAGATTGATCAAGGAGCAAGCCTCCAGCCTCCAAAAACTGTTGCTCTTGATCCGACTTCACATTCACCTGACAGTCTCCACGGAGGGGAGAAGGGGGCCAGAGCACGTGGCAAAGTACTGTGCCCTTGTGATTGCTCTCCCTTGTTTTCCTCATCATCGACTTTCAGTGTTTTCAGCTGTTGTACATCTACCTAATTTCCCGTAGCTTTCCCATCGTCTTCTAGGATTCTCGTATGCCATGGTTGCCAGGGCCCCAAAAGAGGGGTAAAATGTGTTTTGTTTTTCCCAGCGCTGGTTTTTTGCTTTTTTTAATCAGGGCTGGAGCATCCCCAGCATCACCCGGACCAGCGCCTTCTGGGTTTGGCAACTCTGCCACATCCCCAGCATCACCAGCCCTGTTGGCTCTAGCAGTTGGCAGTTTGGGGGGGGGGGAGTTGGGCCTTGCTGAGGGCGGATGGGCTGGTTTGGGGATTGTTCAGGCTCAGTGAAGGGCTGACATCCAGGCTGGTGTTGGGCGAGTTTAGGGTTGACTTCGGGCGGCTTGGGTTAGGTTTGGTGGTTTGCGGAAAGGCTCCAAAACCAATGCTAGACCAGCCAAGAACTCAAATAACCACGCCCTAAAGCAACCCCAAGACCGCTGCTAAACGAGCAGCACGCCCAGCGCAAATCAGCTCCGAGCCCAACAGCAGCTTCCTGACAATATTTTGGGGTGTGAGATGCTCTCCTGCTATCCCTGTTGGCGTGCTTTCGCGGCTGGAAACGCAAGCTTCACTCAGCACTTGGACGCCTGCGTTCAAAATAAGTTTGGGGCATGAAAGTTGGAGAAGAACATCAACGCACAGAGGATGGGCTGGTGTAAAGGGGCATTGGAAGCATTGAGGCTGAATCACATGATTGAACAAAGAAGCCGTCCAACTTCTGAAGTGAGAGTTTGAGGCTACGGGGCGTGATCATTTTCCGCTCATGACGTGCGGCTCCTTGCTCATCAGCCAAAATGGCCTGGCGTAAAGTCATGATTACATCACCCAGGGGTGCCTCCAAATGTTAAATGAATCTCAAAGAGTTGCGACAGTTAGCTGACGGCAGGGGATGCAGTCGAGGGTCTGGACCCCCATCCCCGAGGCTTCTCCAGGGGACCATGCCTTCTCAATGCTTGGAACCGTTTTAAAGGGCGCTATATCCAGACATGAATGTGCTTGATGATTGCTTTCCCAGCTATCCCCCCCCTCACACGAAGCGCACTGAGTACTCTTTCTCTTTCGGCGCCGTTTCACAAGCAATCTGGGCTTCTGGGACTGGAAATGGAACCTTGTTGTTTTCCCTGTGGTCAAAAACCAGCTAGGATCCCCCGAATTCAATCAGGGGATCCGATCAGGCCGACGTGACCTGGGGGGGGAACCTCCCGGAAAAAAAAAAAATGAGAAGGCACGATACCCCGAAGAAAAGCCGATGTGCATTTTTACTGTAAGGTACCTTATTTTTGGCCATAGGCTTTTCCCAAGTGGACAGTGCCTTCTCAGCTGTTATTTTTTTAGAAAAATAAAAATAAAAATGAGCGAGCACGCAGAGGTTGGGGGAGCACGCAAACCCGGAGAAGGCCCGCAAAACCGGAGAAGGCCCGCAAAATCCGGAGAAGGCCCGCAAAATCCGGAGAAGGCCCGGAAAAAATATGAGTCTGTTTTGTTTGGCGATGTGTGACGTGCAAATCCGCATTCATGGCTGCTGGTGATGCCTGTGCTGCTGCTGATGCTGGTGATGCCTTTGATGCTGGTGATGCCTCTGAACTGGTGATGCCTAAAAGTATCTAGCCAGAGCCAAGGCTGACAAACAAACATGCCAGCCCCGAGAAGGCACGCTTATCTGGGGGAACCCGCAAAATCCAGAGGACGCGTGTCCAGACTTCCGATGCAGGAGCGTATCGCTGGCCGTGCCAGAATCGATCATGGACTGGTCGGTCAAAAACTCCAGAAGCCGAGGAAGCCAGAAAGCCATCTGTCTAACGGCAGATCGATCAAGACAAAGTCCGAAGGCCCATCCTCAATTGCGTGCCAAGGCTCGTCCACCACTGCGACGTACGCAACTCGCTGCGCCAGCCGAGCAACCAGGGTTTGCCGCCCCTGGCCCGCTAAACGCTTGAGCGATTCGATATTTGCAGGCGAGTGCCTGGGCTGCTCGCGCCAGATGAACAGGATGGCCTGGTCTTTCCAGCGGGATTGCGAAGTTCTGCACAGACTGACCGAGGAAGGCCAAGACCAGGTAAGCCACCTGGGCTGGGGTTCTCAAACTTCCCCGTGCGCATTGGGGCACGTCATAACATCCGAATCCATCCAGCCCGAGCGTCTGCAAGCCACAGCAAGGGTCTGCCGCGCATGGCTCCCCAAGACCTGCCATGACATCCTTCCCAAAACCTCATGTCGCGAATGCTCCAGCCTCTCGTCAGGTCAGCGCAACGGCCACAAGCGAAAGACACCCATGCACAAATGCTGCAATGGTTGCTTGCACAACGATGCTGTGACAAATCATGACACGTGAGGCTGACGATCGTGCAACCTAAAGTTCTCATAATTAGTGAGGCCAGGCTCACAGCTGCAGCCAGCAGCTTGCCAGCGCGACTTGTTGCGTGTCACACAAGAGTGAGGATTGCCCAGCGGGGCACATGCGCCGCACGGCCACCACGCCAGGATCCTCGACTGTGTGCTTGGCGGCCACACAAAAAACGGCCTTTGGCCCGGCAAATGCGCGGCCTCCTCCGGCTGCCAAGATTCTTGCCCTCAGACTTGCACCAATCTGGAGGGTGAGTGGCACCTGAGGGTGACGCCTGAGAGCTTCTTCTGGAAATCCAGCACGCGGCCAGGAAAGGGAGAGATGAGATGCGCCCCATACCTTCAGAACTTCTCGGCTCTTCAGGCCAAAAAGAGCATTGGCTGAGTCCCATGCTGTGCTGCTGCAACCGCCTGCACCTCACGCTCAAACCCCCTCCCCCCCAGCCCGCTGACTCCGAATGCTCAGGCTAAGGCAAACCCAAACACCAGGGTCATGTTGCAGGTGATGCCCTGCAGACCGCATGCACTCCAGAGGCAAAGCTCTACAGTCCGACACGTCCGGCACCTCGGCTTCTAACTCTTTCATGGCAGCAATGCCCTCCCAGGTGGCTGCCAGCTTGATCAGCACCTTGACGCGTGCCGAGTCAATGCATCCTTCTCCCCACATGAAATTCCTGAGTATTGTGCTCTCTCCCGCGGCACGCCAGCTTCCTCGTACAAAGCCTTGGGTTCTACACCCGTGCCGCGAGGCTAGCAACCATTCTCAAGACTCGCACGATGATGCGCCGAGCCCGGCGGAGCGTTTCCTCCTCTGACCGAATGCTTCATTTGGCTGTGGGCCAAAAATAGGTACCCCAAATAAGACCCTAGTAAGTGGAAACATGGACCAAAACATGCGGTCCCCTGCCTTAATTTTGACCCATACCTATTTCAATACGCAACTTCAACTGCCCGGTCCTTGTCGAAGCTCAAGCGCGGGTCCACCTAGGGCCGTACCAGACAGGCATCCACCATTCAACCAAAGCCTTCCTGAGCGCCTGACTTCTGTGGAGATGTACCCTGGAACAAGCTTTGAAATCGCCTGCGGGCGCCACACATTCTGCCTTCCCAAGCCCGCAACTGCTTGCTGCAACTGCGTAAGACGGCGGCTACCCCGAGGTTCACAGCCAACTTGTCCATGGCCAGCTCAACCATTTCATCCTCATTTGTAGAGGACTTGCGCGCGTAGTCTATCCTTAGGTCTCCATCCGCACGAAGTTCGAGCTGCGGTGAGGTGCTGGCGCGTCTTCCACAAAAGCCACATACACCTGGCAGCGACCGCAGCCACTCTCCTCTACAAATGCCGCTCTGGGGGGCCGGGCCGGATCTCCACTTAGGCCAGCCTTGCTGACAAACAAGGGGTTCCTTGTGGCTCGCGACTCGCTTGCACCAGATCCATCGCAGCCCACTCTGAGGTGCCAGCGTTGTGGCGTCTGTAATCAAACCAGTCTCGGCGTAGTCCTGCCGACCAACAAGCCCACCCTAGCTACCGCCACACCGTGACGCGCCTTGATGATGGACAAGTCGCCAGTATCAATTGACAGGGTCGTCATGCCTGCGAGCCTGGGTCACATCTAGGTCGTTCATTGCCCCTTGTTTGCCACATACGAATGTCTAAACCATGAACTGAATCCACTGCAAAGTGAGGCTATCCCTGCTCCAAGCTCTAACCGCCAGCCGGGCAGCTGCTCGAGGCAGCTTGCAGCCCTTGCGACCTTCTGGGTCCTAGCACTCATTCTGAGGGCACGTTCTGCCGGGCCATTGAGCCTCAGCCTCTGTGGCAAAAAAATGCCCCGGGCCCGCCGGCCCTTCCATACTCCCAGGCGTCACCATCTCTCCCCCCCAAAAAAAAGAAGAAGAAAAGGGCAAGCCGCCCTTGTGCAAGGGAAGCCACCAATTGCAACTGATTCCTCTCCCTCATCGAAAGCTCTCACTGGCACCTCTCCTGCCAGGTGACCGGCAGCCCACAAAAGCCTGACGCATTGCCCACGCCGCGCACGCTTGCTGACTCGCCACCGAAGAGCCGACTCCACTTTTCTCGCAGACCGAGTCCATGTCGGGCCAGTCACTCTATGAAGCCCAAGGTCCTCAACACACTGTGCCCAGACGGGAAAAGCATCGGAGTTTGCTGCAGATACTCCTGGTAAGCCGGGTCACTCCCGTACTTTTCCTTCTCCATCTCAACGGTTTTCGTGATTGCCCCGCTTGCTTGGCCGAGGAAGAGCGCCAGCAAGAACAAGGGACTCACCAGGCTTGCGGCGGCGGGGAGGGGGCCTGCTGCCGCCAGCGTGGTCGAATTCAGCACAACTATGCCACTCCAAAGCAAGAGGTTGCCAAACCAGTTGGGTCGGCGCGACAACTGCCACACGCCCACGTCGCAGAACTTCCCCCTGGAGTCTGGGTCCTGTTTGAAGCGCCACTTCTGCCAGTCGGCCAAAGTCTCCAGCATCAAGCCCAGCGCGAAAATGCCAAGGCCGACGACATCCAACCAAGAGAAGGCAGGTCGCGCTCCAAGCGGCACGCCAGCTGCAAGAGCATGTGGCAGTGACACCACCCAGCCCCACAAGAAAGAGATGAACCAAAAGCCAAAGGTGCCAGACAGCCCAGCCAGCACCTCCTCCAACCGCGCGTCATGGTGCGTCTGCAGCGCGCGGTAGAACAGAAATGCGGCTAACTTCGCGCCCCAGATCCCGATGCAGGCAGCACTGACCTGCTGCCGCCAGTGAGTGCCCCGCAAAGCAAACGCAAAAGCAGAGAATGCACCGGTACCCAACAAGTCTAAATGGTAGTGCCATCCTGTAGCCAGGGACACGACAAATCCAATGCCATTTGCCGCTCCAAAGACCAGGGCACTTGTGGCCAGAGGTGCGGGCGAAAAGGCTGCTGCAGCTGCTGTGTAGCCCGCTGCCCTCATGGTAAATGAGCGAATTCCTCGGTTCAGAATCATGATGTCGCATGCAGCGCTCGCTGCGACTTGGGCCCCGTCACGAGAGGCACTGCACTTCAAACAACATTCTGGCATGCAATGCAGCTGGTCCCAACAGGCTCTCCAAGCCTCAGTCATCTTGCCAAGCCTGGTGCACGTGCGCGTTCGTCAAGCCACGCGCTCGCACGACAAGCACTGATGTGTTGGATAGTCGCAGTCAGAATGACTTGCAATGATTTGCATGCATGAATCGATGATTAAAGAACACGAACAGCCCCTCTAGTTCGTGCAACGCCAGGGTTCTTGTCACAAATGCGCAAGGGACTGCCGTGAGTGATGGGTCCTGGGATGCACATCAGCATTCCATGCGCTGGCCATGATGCTGCACCCACGATCGACGTGCGTCGCTTGGCCGACTTGGGAAATAGCGACGCTGTGGCAAGCTGTGATATGTTGGGGGTCGGCTTTCATGCAAAGTTAGCTGCAGTTCCAGACCTGAATCGCCTCATTGTGCCAAGCGATCCCAAGCCTTAACGCCAGCCATGGCAAGAGTATCAAGCAGACCTTGGCCAGCAGCTTGCACACATGCACCATCGGAAATGCCATGCCATGCACCAAGAGCTGAGGAGACGGCACCCAAAGCCTTTCTAGCCATTGCACTGCAAGATGTGCGTAAGTGCGCACGTCAAATAAGTCAAACAGGAGATCATGCTGGTGCACGTGCTGGGGATGCGTGACACCATGCGCTTTGCAGCCTTTGCCTTCTGCTCAGATGCTGAGTTATCATGCCATGGCATCAGCTTCATGCAATGCTTGAGGCATCAAGTAGAACGAGCATGATTCTGCCCACATCACACAGACATGCCAAGACATCCTGAGGGTTGTCGTGGGATGCTCCGCCGCTCTGAATCTACCAAGTGGGACCTTTCTACCATCAGCTGCTGTGCCTTCAGCGGTAGGGTGAAACGACTTGCACAAGCAGGCCTGCGGCTATGTGGCTGTGGGTCAAAAATAGGTACCGCATATTGGAACCCTGGTAAGTGGAAACATGGACCAAAAATTGCGGTCCCCTGGTGGTTTAATTTTGACCCATACCCATCTGAAGCGCAACCTGGCAACTGGTCAAGCCTCCTTGGGAGCTCCCGCCGGGCGACTCACGTCACCAGTTTCATCTCGTACAGGCCTGCCCTGGCAAACTCCATCAACCGGCAGTCCAACGGGCATTCCTTGAAACGTCGGTTGGAATGTTGGAGCAGGTCCGCCCAATGCCGGGGTGGCCACCCCAACAACTGTGCCAGAAGGTAGCTCTTCGTCCTGCACGGGAATCCCCACCATCTGGGCGTTGTTGTCTGTGGTTTCTTCACTTTGTCTCGCCTGCCCTTCCTGTAGGTATGGCAGGTTCCTCTTGGCAGACATGGCTGCGGCAACAGCTCCTATAACCCAAATGAGCCACAGTATCGTAGAGGCCATCTGCCAAATGGCACCGACGTGCTGCTTGGTGAGGGCGTGGTTGTCTAGATCTCCCAGAGACGGCTCAGCAATAACTGATTGAGTGTCCACGGAGCAGTTGAGGGGCTGCTCTCTGGTTGCTATGGCTTCCAAGACTGCGGCCAGAAACCTCTGAGAAAGCAGAGCAGTGTGGAGAAACTCATGAACATGTGTTTGCTTTCGCCTGATTGGCGTTGTGACCCGTTTGGCAGGCCCATTCGATATGTCTCGGAAAGCAAGGTTAGAACTCAGAACTCTAGAGCTTGCAACACGTCTGGGAAGCTTGAAGAAAAATGTGCAGAGAAGTCTTTGGGGTTGGATTGAAGGAGGGGGTGGGCGAGGGTTGGTGCTCAAGGGGGAACCCAGCTCGCAAGCCCTGTGACCCTTGCAACATGTACACGCTGCACGCACTTGTGGAGAAGCTGGCCCTACGGCGACGCCAGCTAAGCTGCGGGACTCCTATGACTACGTCACCCTGAGGCCATCACGAACCGATGAAGATTGGGCAAACTTGGATCAAGATTTGTCTGTCCTTCATCTTGCTGGTCAGCATTTACGACATCACAGGCTCCCTCCCTCCAGCAACCACACAGCTGACGGGCTATGGAAGGCTACCACCATGCACAAGTATAAGCAACTTATCCTGTTCCACATCCGGCCCTTGGAGAAGCGACCTAAATTGCCAGCCAGGCAGCGTCCAGGCGACGAGCACGTGGCCATACCGGGACACTCCCACCAACTGCTGCGGCTTCAGGGGCGAGCCCTCGCCGCTCACCACCACGCCTCCGTGGATCAAACCTCCCCAAGCGGCGAAGACCGAGGACACGATGAAGCTCAGGGCCTCGGGCGAGCCGAAACTTGAAACCCCTTCGCGCTGTGTGTGCGCGTGTTTTGCCTGTGTGGGTCTGCGTCGTGCGCGTGTGCATGTGCGTGTGCGTGCGCGTGTGCGTGCGTCTGCGCGTGCGTGTGCAGGTGGGTGTGGATGTGGGTGTAGGTGTGGGTGTCTGTGTGTGTGTGCGTTTGTGTGTTTATGTGCTTGTGTTTTTGTGTGCGTTTGTGTTTGTGTCTGTGTGTCCGTGTGGTGGCGTGTTTGTGTTTGTGTGTTTCTGTGTGTGTGTGTGTGCGCGTGTTTGTTTA